AAAAAAGATTTTTGTTGCCATGTTTTTTTTTTTTCTTCTTCTTTCTGCATCCATTGTGATTGTGTTGAATGCTGGGAATAATTCACTATGAGGAGCATAATTGGAAACTTTATTTATTTTAGTTTTGTCTATATTCGTCTGCAGCAATTTCGAGTTTAATTACACTACTAGAAAACTGGGTAATTATTCCGGCAATATTTGTAGGAAATTCTTAGGAGGACGGCGTTAGCTACACAATTCTTACATAAAACGGGTTGTAGAAAAAACCCTCATAGGTAATTTTTCCATACAAATTACCTACAAACTTTCTTATGGCTTTCCTACATAATATCCTGTAAGAAATTTACGTACGGAATATCTACGGATCACTTTTACTACATAATAGTTACAAAATAATTACCAATACTTTTTCCTACAGAATAATTACAAAATATTTTTTCCTAGAGCATACCTACAACACTACTTTCCTATAGAATGCCTAGGTATTATTTTTTTTTCCCTACAATTTTCCTACGTATTTTGAAACATCCCAAAAATACAGTTTAAAATTTTCGTTTTAATTTAATAATAAAACCTTAGTCATTGAACATCATATAAAAATCATAAACAGTGTACCTCAAAATATCGTAACAATTGTCAAAATATCAGAGTATAAATATCACAGGCTGAACAAATGGTGTGTGCACTGCAATGTTTCCGATCTCCTCTTTTGAAACTGAGTACCTGATAACAAAACTGAAACTGTAAGCACGAAGCTTAGTGAGGTTCCCCAAACTACCACATACCATACAAAAACATATAAAGCAACTACTGGGCCTTGCCCACTGCATCGGACCAATGTCCGGAACTAACTAGGGCCTTGCCCTCTGCATCGGACCGAAGTCCAGAAACTGCATCGGACTGTAGTCCGGAACTAACCAGGGCATTGCCCTTTGCATCGGACCGAAGTCCGGAAACTGCATCGGACCGTAGTCCGGAACTAACCAGGGCCTTGCCCTCTGCATCAGACCGAAGTCCGGAAACTGCATCGAACCGAAGTCCGGAACTAACCAGGGCCTTGCCCTCCGCATCGGACCAAAGTCCGGAACTGACTGAACATAGCATAGCATAATCATAACTACTAGCATAAACACATATACTGCATACTGTATCGGACCGAAGTCCGGAACACATAACACAAAGACATGCTTGAATCATAAAGACCTCAGGCACACTGAACTACTGCATCAGACCGAAGTCCGGAACTACTACTAACTAAACTGGCCGACATTGTGGCCGTAGACCCGTTCATACTGAAAGGAAGCTCACCTCGCAAAGATGACTGTAGAATACTACGTATAACCCCTCGCTGCTAGCTGGGAGATACTCGAACTACTGATCTCACGACTTCTCGTGCTATCAATACCAAAATAACACTTAGTCCAAATCCATTAAGTTTCCTTAGGGTAAAATGATAATCTCACCCCTGATCTAATTTGGTCTAAGGCCTAGGCCTAAATCCATCACATGAAGGACCCAATTCCATATAGTTTTTCCAAATCCACTAACGGCAAAATTATGGCCCAATTTTCTAAATTGGGCCCAACTTCTCAAATGGGGCTTCCTTCAAGCCCAAAATATAATATAGCCCAATAACAATCCAACATAATAGTCCAATAAGGCCCATAATCAACTAGTCCAAGGAAATGACCCACCAAAAAGCCCACTGACTTACGAACACAGGGTGTTCCCTTGTAGAGCGTTGGGCGTTCCTTCGCAATCCTGGTCGCGAGTCTCAACGGGAACGCAGTGCGTTCCCGAGCCCTACGCAGTGCGTTCGTTCCCTGATTCCAAAAGTTGGCCATTAAGAACTTAATGCTTAAGCTATGTTATCCAAACATAGATCCAAGCTGTTTAAGACCTCCTAAATCATAAAGTCACGAACTTGACGACTTTGCATGCACCCAAAAGTCCCAATCTGGAGAAATAGCAATCAACTTCCATAAAGATGGTCATAACTCTTGCATGGATCCATTAGGAGCTTAAAGATGGCAACTTTCCTGCCTAAGGGACTCAAATAGCCTCATCGGTGGCAACCCTAAGTCCAGAAACAGATTTGACACATAATAATCAATTCTTAAAACCAAAAAGGGACAATATCCATGAGAAACTAGATCTATGATGTAGAAGAACCAATATGAGAACTTTATACCTTGAATAGGCTGGAAATGATGCAAAACCTCTGGATCTACAAGCTATCTTCAATCTATTGCTTATTCTCTAAACACCTTCTTCTTCAAATCACCCAAACAACACCAAAAATACTCAAGGTAAGCTCAAAATGCATGCAAGAGGTTTAGGGTTTCGATCTTATGGTTAGATAGGATGGAGGCTGAAGGAAATAAGGGTTGTGGTGTGTTAAGGTGTTTAAATAGGGTCCAAGACTCGAAAATTAGGGTTTAGTCTGCCCAGACGAATGCAACGCGTTCCCTTTGGGAATGCAGGGCGTTCCCATATGCACCCGCATCCATTTTCCTTTTTAACACCATGCGTTCTTACTTGGTACGCCATGCGTACACGGTTTGGCCCAAACCCTTCTAACTTCAAATAACCATAACTTCTTCGTTATAACTCCGATTTTGACGTTCTTTATATCCACAGAAAACTAACGGGAAGCCGTATGCATATATCAACTTTATTTAACCTGAAAGCCAACTGAACTTAAATCCAAAATCCTTAAAGGGCCCGAACCAACTCCTTTTCCAATAGCTTTGAGCTCCAAAACACAAACTGAATAAATTGATCATCCAAACCACATCATTCACCTCCAAATAAGTACAAACTTAATTCTTTAAGGTTTCTAACTCAACCAATACCCACTCCTTGTTCACCACCCTGACATGGGAAGGATTCGAAACGGTGTGTTACATATTTTTTTCTAGCTTTGTGTGAAGACAATTTTATCACTAATTTGTTGCCAATTAATTCAGAATTAAAAAAATTCCTAATTTTTCTTCTCAAAATTAATGCAAAAAACCACAAAACTAAAATAGTCAAATACCAATATATTCCAAAAGTTTAAACTAATTAAGTTTTTTAAAGCAAAAAATGCAAACTAGTTGATGGATTGCTCAGCAGGTTGAACTATCTCATAGAGGCCACCAGTTGCTGCATTTGCAATTCCATTTTACTTAGAATTTGCTGTATTCACAAATCCATTTAATTTTCCATTCTTGTCGTTGCAAATCAATTTGACTTTTCATCCATGACTTGTGGCATGCTTGACACGTGTCTTCGTGACTCATTTACCTAAAGATACAAGGTAAAGAAAAACATCAAAAATGAAAGTAATGTCATCCTTATAAAGAATCTTTTTTCTAGAGACGAGAAGAAAAAAATTTATTTCATTAACTAATTTACCTCTTCAAATTCCAACCAGGCACTAGCAGACGAGTTTATGAAAAGTATCAAATTGTAATTAAGTTGTCCAACTGATTGCCATGATCCTCACGGACACTTATTAACTTGTTTGACTATTCAGTCCCTACTCCCTACAGTCATTCTAGTATTACATAAAATAAGATTATTAAAGACTTACCAGAGTCTATGGTCAAGAGGATGTGAACATGATCACGATTCATGCTTCAAATAGCTTTAATGAAGTTTCTATATCTGGGGGAGAAAGAACAACATGGTTTCCATGGATTACACAAAAACAAGGTAACTATTTTTTAGTGCTCCGCCAATAACTTTGCCATGACTGGTAGTGCGCAACCCATAGAGACCATTGATCCTATGAAATTTCATAAAAAATGCTTAGTTGATTATTAACAGCTACTGCAATCCTATATATATATATATATATATATATATATATATATATATATATATATATATATATATATATATATATATATATATGATAGTCTTACAAAAATAATGTAATTATGATCCTTTAAAAGTTACAAGATTTTAATTAAAACTGTAAGGGTGTACTTGAGACAAGACCAGATGGCTTGACCACTCATAGAGTATGCAGCTACATAGAACATTGGTCCCATGTTCAAATGATCAACAAGCTCTTGGATACCAAATGTCAAACACTTCGCAGTTGCTTTAGTGTTTGATCACTCTCTCCAAAACCAGGAAGGGTATTTGTAACAAATTAGCACCAATAGTTCTTTCACAAGAGCCTCTAAAAATCGCAATGTACTCAGAAGCTAAGGTTGCGTTTAGTTACGGAAAAACAATTTTCATTTTCCGTTTTTTGTTTTCCTTTTTCGATTTTCGTTTTTCGTTTTCATTTTTCATTGAAAAATTTAGAAAACACGTTTAGTTAAACTTATTCATTTTTCATTTTCAGTTTTAGAAAATTAGAAAATGTGTTTAGACGTGTATTTTTCTATCGGTTTTCATTTTTAAAAAACGGTAGCGGTGGTAGGGAGTGGGTGGGGGCGGTGATGGTAGCGGTTCAGCGGCGGTGGTGGTGATGACAGGCGATGGTGGTGGTGGCGGCAATTGTGTCAGTAGTGGTGATGGTGGCGACAGCGGTGGTGGTGGTGCTAGTGACGGGTTAGTGATGGTGGTGGTGATGGTAGGTCGGTGATTGTCGTGGTGGTGTTGGGTGGGTGGGGGTGCAAGTATGTGTTTGTGGGGGTAGGTGTAGGTTTGTGTGTGTGAGTGTGTGTGTCTGTGAGGGTGGGGGTGGGGGTAGGTGTGGGTTTGTGTGTGGGTATATGTGTGTGTGGATGTGTGTGTGTGTGTGTATGGGTGGGTATGTATGTGTGTGTGTGTGCGGGTGGGTGTGTATGTGTGTGTGTTTGTGGGTGTGTGTGTGTGTGGGGTGGGGGGGGTTGGTGTGTATGTGTGTGTGGGTAGGTATGTATGTGTGTGTGTGTTTGTGGGTGGGTGAGTGTATGTGGGTGGGTATGTATGTGTATGTGTGTGTGTGTGTGTGTGCGGGTCGGTGTGTCCGTGTATGTGTGTGGGGGGGTATGTATGTATGTGTGTGTGTGTGTTTGTGGGTGGGTGGGTATGTGTGTGTGTGTGTGTTTGTGGGTGTGTGTGTGTGTGTGTGGGTATGTATGTGTGTGTGTGTGTGTGCGGGTGGGTGTGTGTGGGGGTTGGGGTAGATAGAGGTGGGTGGGTGGAGTGGGTGTGTGTTTATAGAAAAATTTTGGAATTAGAAAAATATGGAAAACAATGATTATCAGTTTTCCAAAATTTTCCAACTTCTTTGTAATTTTAGAAAACGGAAAATTTTTATTTTCCGTGAAAAATTTAGAAAAATAGACGAACTAAACGCGTTTTCAAAATTCTCATTTTTCTTGAAATTTTTTTCCGGAAAACGGTCCATTTTTCCGCAACTAAACGCACCCTAAACCTTTTAAAGGATGGAAAAGAACAAATTAAAGGAAGATCAATAATTAATCCATACTGGTGAAACTGACAGCAAAAGGGTGATGGTACTTATTCAAGTTGAAATCATGGATGAATATTAGTTTATAATGGTTCATGTATCCAAAATGTATATATCATCTAAAGTCTAAGCATCTTTCATTACCTTGTAATACATATCTCAATTCCTCAGGGTTAGATGTAACAGTTGCCTTAGAAATCCGATAGAGATGCATCTGTAGGAAATCAAAATATTAAGTTTATTTAATTTAACATAAATACACATAATAATAATAATAATAATAATAATAATAATAATAATAATAATAATAATAAATTACTGAAATCGTTCCTGTGGTTTGATCAAAATTCCGTGTTTAGTCCCTAATTATTTTTTTGCACTCGGACCGTCCTGGTGGTGGTGTAAGATCCCGTTTAAAATAGAAATAATTAAATAAAAAACCCGGAACCCTGAGAAGTAATTTTATTATTATTTTTATATTATTATGGTCCAAAATCAAATAATAATTAGTGTAATGACAAGATTTGAATATCCGGGAGTTAAAGTGTAATTTCGGGATCTATTTTGAAAAGGATTTCAGAAGTCGAGGTGTGTTTGGTATCATTTAGACTTATATTGAAAGGATTTTATAGAGTTAGGGGCTAAATGGTAATTTTGGGACTTAATATGAAAGGAAAAGGAGAAGGAAGGATCTGTTTTATCAATATGGATCATAGTTTGAATGGAGCGAGTATATAACTGTTCTATTGTCTCTAAACCCTAATCCTAATGCAACTCCAGCCATCACCTCCCTCTCTCCCCTTAATTTTCGGATGCCACCACCTCGGTTAAGAACCCCAAACCACCGGAGCAAACACCCTGTGTCCATTCAAATACCGGGAAAGCGAAGTTACATACGTTGTTGCCGCCGATTGCTCGTGGATTGCCCTCTAGTTTTCGTCGCTACCTCCTTTAATGGATGCCAACGAAGGTTGTTGCCATTGTTGTTGAAGATGGAACTACCGACGGGGACTCGAGCAGGCGCCTCTCCGATGCTGCTGCTACTGTTGTACTCGGTGGGTTCGAGCCACCTCCTTCTCTCCTTATTTCTCTCCCTATTACTTCCACCGCTGCTGCCTGTAGGTTTTTTAACACCATTGACACCCTTCGTCCGCTATATGCCACCGTGGCAGGGTGGTCGAGTTCGTGGTTTGTTATGCGATTGTGTGGTGGTTGTGGTGGCGGCGACGATGGTGGTGTTGGTGGTGGTGGAGTCAGAAGTCGGGGTGTGTTTGGTATCATTTGGACTTATATTGAAAGAATTTTATGGAGTCAGGGGCTAAAATGGTAATTTTGGGACTTAATATGAAAGGAAAACGAGAAGGAGGGATTAGTTTTGTCAATATGGATCATAGTTTGAATGGAGCGGGTATACAATTGTTCTATTTTCTGTAAACTATAACCCTAATGCAACTCCAGCCGTCAACTCCCTCTCTACCCCTGTGTCCATTCTAACGCCGGGAAAGCGAAGCTACATGCATTGCTGTCGCGGGTCGCTTGTGGATTGCCCTCCAGTGTTCGCTGCCACCTCCTTCCATGCGAACCTCCTTCCATGCATGCCGACAAAACTTGTTGCCATTGCTGTTAAAGATGGAAGTACCGAGGGGGACTCGAGCAGGCGCCTCTTCGCCACTTGGTGGTTATCGAGGCCAACAAAATTAATAACCCTAATTATTACACACTAAAATAGTGTATAACGGTAAAGGGATCGAATCCACGGAGATTGGTTCAATTTGATAACTCTATGAAAAATCTCTTTGTAAAAATACTTGTAAAATGACAATAAATTAAAAATGGAGGTTTTGATGTTTTGAAATACTTGAAACAAACTAGAATTAACTATGATTTAAATAGGAAATTGCAACAAAAATAAGAGTTTGATGTAAAATTAATAATGGAGAGATGGTTGACTTAAAGTTTCCTCACTTTAACTTTTGATGAACATACCATTAGAATCCAATGGTGCAATACTTTGATTTAATTCCTCAATTTGGCTATAATAATCCAAGAAGCTTGAGATTACCTAGACTTTTCTTAGTTGTTAAAATGGTTAGAGAAGCTCTTAACAATTTCCTTAGTCAAAGTCACAATTTCCATTAAGCATGTAATTAGTGAAAGTCAACTAGCATTAAGAACCAAAAAGTCACCAAATCCAAGAGGGGTCAAATGCTTTCATCACCATGTTGGAGGAGATGTTTTTAAGATTGCGTGAAGCAAAAACTGCACAAAAATCATTTGTTGCTTGCTAATTTGAGGATCATTCACTTAATCAAGAAATTAGCCAACTAATCACCACAAACACATTTAAACTCATGAATAAAACCATACTAGTAGTGATAATATGATAAAACACAAAACATTTTCATAAAGATTTAAGAACAAGTTCATGGATTCTTCAACATTCAACAAAAGTTCAAAGGATTCAACAAGAATTCACCAAGATTTGTTTAGCCAAGCATGACTAAACTCAAAGAAGAAAAGTTAGATGAGATTGTACCAAACATTTTATAATAATCAAGAGGTGAAATCAAGATGTTCTTGAGGTGTTCTTGGCCTTCAAAAGTACTCCAAACTCCAGAGAGAACAAGTCAAACTCGGACCTTCAAGATTAGGCTAAATAGGCACACCCACCTTCCCAATATAGAGCTCTTAGCAAAATCCCAAAATTGCCCTTGTCAGGAATCCACGCGGGCCGCGGGGAATCTTACGCGGGCCGTGGGATCTGATGGGTATTTTGGGCTTCTTCAAGTCTTGGGCCCCCACAGCTAATCCATTGGCCCAGTTCGAGTCCAATCAGCTTCTAGCCCATTTTTCTTCAATATTTCTTCAATTTGAGCCCAATTTGTCTTTCCACATCACTCAAAACTTCCGCAAACTCCTAAACGTTGATCTTGCACACTCAAGAATTTTCCCGTGCCTTTCAAATTTAAAGTTCAACACTTTCAAGCCTTCAAGCAATTGACAAGTCCACTCCATGAATCACATCCATAGCCATCAAGCATGAAATCCCCATTTCCTTTCAAGCCCAATCGCCTCCCAAGAGTCCCACTCAGCTAGTCTACAAGAAAATATACAATAATGCTCAAGAAACTAGAAAGTACCCGAAATGGTCATAAAAATAACAAAAGGGAAAATATGCATGGAAATTAACTAAAATGAGAATGAAATGTGCTAAAATAAACT